AWWTTAACTATAATCATTAAAAGAGCACAAAAGGTCAGTAGAGCAGAACTTCTAATTTGCTGCAAATACAGCAAAGATTCAGGAAGGAATGTTTGGCAGTCAAAATGTGAAATCCTCTTTGCACTGCTCTGCAGTGGAAACTCTTATGAAGACTAGAAAAAAATCAGACTGACCTAAGGAATGTCTGAAGGTCCTGGAACATTTGTAAAAAAAATTACAGCAATATACCCTTAAATGTCATCCCCTCAAAAACCTGAGTAAAAATGGAATACACTGTGTTAGTAGTCATAAGATGAAAACAGTTTTGGGTTGCAGACAGAGGTTACAGAGAGAACTTGTCCTGGTATTATCCCATATTCTTKCTTTTTAGAAATAGAAATTTAGGGGGGAAATGGCAGATATTTTACCACCTGTTTTTCAGTGTAAAAGATGCTGTGTATTTTACAGTTTATTTATATAATATTACTGAGGAATTAAGACTCCTCTCAGTATGCTAAGATAGTAGTCACAGGATCATGAGGTAGAAATCACAAAATAGGACAGAAGTAACATTCACTTGTCATCTACTTCTCCCTGTCTAATGCTAAAAAGAATAATCAAATACACCTATATCATTAGCAAAAAATTCTGATGTAACCTATTCTAAAAATTTCCAGGGCTGGAGGTTTCCTGGTAAACTGTTGCAGTGCTTTACCTTGATGAACCTTATTGATATTTTCCCATTGATTGTAGTGATCACTACTGCAGAAAATTAGTTTAGGTTGGATTTTTTCTGCTGATGAAACGGACTCACATAAGAGATGATAGTGTTCTTTTAGGTCTTCACAGAAGGCTGTTCTATCTCTCAATTCAAGATCCAACAATCCAAACCAATTCTTTTAAACCTTTCCCACTGGTTAACTTTTCTAGACCTGTAAGCTTTCTCCATGCTTTCCTTCAAACAAAAAGCGTGGCCCATATTTTTCTTGCAGTGCAGTYTCCATAACTGGACACAATACTCTARCTGAGACTCTACCAGKCCTAAATGGAAAATAACTTCACATATTTAGCAGGCTGTACTGTGTTTTATTCACCTCAGTGTGGGCTTTGCCCTTCTCACAGGAAGATGGCATTGTTGACCTATGTATAATTTGTGATCCATGCCAACTCTCAGACCATCCTCTATACAACTGTCACTGACACAACTGTTACCCATTCTATAGGTTTATACTGTTTATTTATATGGACTATGTAGAACCTACCACTTATTTGTACTGAATTACATCCTGTTTTACAGACTGTGTCCATGTGAATTTGTCAAGTCCGATTTGAACTCAAAACCCATTCTCCAAAATACTTCAAGCTCACACTGAGTATATGGATCACACACATTAATATGGATACTCTCTATCCAAAGTAGTTCTAAATGAAACATTAAAAGCTCCTTGGCTTAGAAATAATACTGACAGATCTTTAATGATAGGGCTGTTTTTCTGCAGGGTTTSTTTGTTCCCTGCAGTTGCTGTATGTTATGCTGAGTGCTGTTAACCAACTCCCCATAYCACTTTCTATGATGAAATCAGACAAGGAGCACTTTTTGTGGATATACACAGAATCTGTGTTGCAACAAAATCCCCACTGTTACTTCCACAACTAGGTACTAGATACTATTTCAGAAGAGAAATCCAGAATCTGCATTTAAAATGTCATTCATTCCTTCCAAAGACTGCACTGTGATAGAAATACCTCAGTCAAAGGCAAAAGTAGCTTCCACAAATTGCTGGTCCCTGGCTTGGGATCAGCTGAAAAGACCAAATGACAGAGCAAGGTTTTACAAAACTGGCTTGGTTGGTTAGACTTCAGTAGGTTTTGGAAAGCACAAAAAAATCTACTTGGTTAAACTACAAGAACTAGCAGTTCTTGTGACTGARATATTAATAATYATAGAATGGTTTGGGTTGGAAGGGACTTTAAAGATCATCACATTCCAACCCCCTTTCCATGGGCAGGGACACTTTCCACTAGAAYAGGTTGCTCTAAGCTSCATTCAGCAAGGTATTGAACATTCCAGGGATGGRGCATCCACAGCTTCTCTGAGCMACCTATTCCAGTGCTTCACCACCTTAACTACAAAGAGTTTCTCCCTAATATCTAATCTAARCCTACYCTCTTTCAGTTTAAAGCCATTCCCCTTTGTCCCTGTTGAAATATCCCTCTCCAGGCTTTCTTGTAGCCCTATTTATGTATTCTAAGATGCTCTAAGGTCTCCCTGGAGCCTTCTGTTCCACAGACAGAACAGCCCCAACAGTTTCASTTTTTCTTTGCAGGAGAGGTGCTCCAGCCCTCTGATCATCTGCAATGTAAAAGCTGTAACTATAAAGCCAAAATTTGCAGCCCAATGCAGACATTCTGCTTTACATCATGGAGACTAARTTCATTAACAGCTGCCAAAATGTACATCTGAGAGCAACTGAAAGAATCAAACATATCCTTAGGAGCACCACAAATTGTTAGGAATTGTAAAGGCACAGCTCAAAGACTTTGAGAAGAATTTATGTTTCTTTTACAGAAATTCATGCATTKGAATTTTTGTTTGTTTCTTTTAATTGGATAATGTCTCTTCTCTCACCTTTTCTTCTTCTTGCTTATCAAGTGATGAAGGAGCTAATTTGCCCTGGTTTGCTTTTGCAGAAGGCAGAAATTTTCCTGATTTTTTCCTATCTTTTTTTCCTGGAGCTTGTGTMGGGGGAGGTTGGACCTTCTGTACTGGGACTTCTGGTGTTGGAATTACAGTTGGAAGATGAACAGAAGGGATATTCAGAATTCTTGCTAACTCAGGWCCTGTTTCATCATCTAAGGAAGGGAAAAGCAATATTTTTAATGTAATTCAGTTTCATAAATGTACACTGCTACTTTTTATTTTTTAAAAAGATTTTGTACACTAAATTTTACCTTAGAAATCAAAACCTCTGTGAGGGAATTTATTATTTCAGATAGAGGGACTGAACATACAAGAGTATTTAGAAAATCTTTCCATAGACTGACAATTTATTAGCCTAAAAGACATCTTGAAATTATTGCTTCCCACAAGTTGTCATTTGGTGGTCACCTCAAAAATAAAAAAATATGGTTTTAAAATATTCTTTTACCTCCAGAATACTTAGAAGTGGAGACATTGTGAGTCTAGTATCTAGTAAATGATCACTGGATTCTTCTTTATCATGGGCTGATCCAGCTCCAGTAATTTTGTACTATGTAGGTCTATTTTGCTGTAATTATTCAGAAAGATTCTAATGATCTAGATTTGATAAGAGTCTTGCAATTCTTAAAGCCAAGCATTAGGACATGCTAGGCATGTCAACAGGACAACGTTGCCTTTCAAAACAATTTCTTGAAAATAAAATAAATACAAACTTAGATTTTCTGTAATTATTTCAGCTATTGACACTCCTCTTTTCATAGAAATTTCACCTATGCCTTTAGTCTGGTTGCCTCCAAAAATGAGAATATGGTGTCTGAGGGTAACAGTGAAAAAGCATGGATTGCCAAGACTGAGATAAAGTGTCTTTAGARATCTTGAGAGACAGATAAAATTCCAGAGGACTGTCTGCTAAGGAAGGTTTCCTTCCTTTTATACACACATTCATATTTCTAGGACTTGGAATTATACCCTCATAATTTTGTGAAGACACAAAGAACAAGTGCAGAGGTTCTACAGAACCCAGAATCAAAAGCTCTGCAGGTACTCAAACAGTCCCAGATTCATAAAGAGACAAGGAGATTATTTCTAAAATAAACATTAAGTGATCTGAAGTTAACTTTTAATAATGCTGGAGAAAATGAAGAATAATTCAAAACCTGAAGAAATATTAACATTTCCCCAAAAAATTAAAAKAAGTTGCATAAAGCTGAAAGACAATTTAAGGCCTTTTGTCACCTTAGCTTCTGTAAAAGGAAGATGGAATAGATAAAGTGTGAAAAACAGCAAAGAAAGTGAGTATTAGAGAGTTTCCAGAGAACTATTTCAGTACAGCAGGGAAAAAGGGTAATTTGCACACAATTTAAGTGCTCAGTGGAGAGAAACTACAGATTTCATGGTATTAGGGATGGATGGCATATGAGAATCATCTAAGAGAGTATTTCTGGTCATAATTATTCTGAGCACTTGTGATGCAAAGACCCAYGGGAATTTGGCATAAGCAAATGATCATAGAACAACTGCAAGCAATCCAAAAATGCCAGTTAGCAGTRCTCTGAGGCTCAACAAAGCAAGGATTATTCTAATGTAGAATAGAATGACTATGGTGAATGTGAAAAAGCCTGAACATCACAACTCAAATGTAGGTGKTTAATTAGATGTGCCTCTCTTTTCTGTCAAAATCCAAGATTTTTCAGTGCACTATTGTGAATGCTCTCTTGGCTGAAGTTTAAAAAGTCTTTTTTTTTAGTAATTAATTTGTAAAATATATTTGAACAATTAAAACTAAGTGTAGAGTTGAATGGTTTACCACACAAAGATGCATTCAATTAAATGTTTTCATATTTTAGGAGCTGAAAAATGCTGGAATTATTTTCTGATCAGAGAAGGGTTTCACTTTTATCCATAAGATGGTTTCAGTGGCCTTTCAAATGCAATGGAAACAAAAAGCTCTTGGTAAAAGCAGACACTGTTTTCACTGTGGTTTTCTGAAGCAATTGCTTCCAGTTGGTGAATGTGTTTATTGAAAGGCTGAGAGAAATCCCTCATTATGTCTGCACAACTGTAACCTAAAGTCCAACTCCTAAAGTAAAATGAAAGTTCCATAATCACCTATATAAGTTTACAAAAATATTATTTCTTGGAAAACCAAGAAGACTCCTCAGCAAATCACATTTTCTTTGGCTCAAATTAATTGGCTGATTTTGCTGGGCTGCTTAATAACAATACTTGCACTGCTCTGTTTTTACAGTAAGCAGAAAATCTTGGAGACCTCCCTCCATTTTAAAAATTGAATCATAGAATATTCTTGACAATGTAATCTCATTTTGAGCCTTGCTGAAAATTCCCTACCATGTAGTAACAGCTGCTGAGAAAGGCAGAATTGAATGCAACAATTTATTGGGTTAAGCAGTGTATGAAGGAAAAAAAAAAGGAAAAAAAAATTCCCCTATGGTTCTCAAATATCCTCTTCTATTTGCTTACTTTACCTGCTGTCTCCCCTGTAGGTCCATAATAGCTCAGGGACAGCTGGATTCCATTTTCCAAGGTGGCTGAAAAAGATCCAAACTTGCTCACAGCTTCCTTTTGACTTTTCAATTCTCCTTCTGAAAAAAAAAAATAAAAAAAAAATTAAAGATAGCAACACATACCAGAACCACCTGACCTGTAAACCAATGGCTGGTGTAAAAAGTAGAACCTYAGTGAGGATGACTAACCTAAATAGACTAAATAGGGCAGGGAAAACCAACATTCCATTCATARGGTACTATATAATAGTCAGTTTTGTGCAATATACTTGTGGTTTTTTCTCCAGAAATAGCATTCTAGTTAGCTAGGTGTGTAAAAACAGGTTTAACAGCAACAAATAGTGAAAAGCCTTATTGAATTTAAGCAGSAAGGGAAGCTAGTTCTGGATTTATGGATCCTTGTTTCTTGGCTGACAAGAAGGTTAAGCTGCTCATTTCTACATCACATGTGATTTTTATGCACTGATAAAAATCACTGTCCCTCACACACTGTCACAGGGACAGGARCTGCACTTGAATTATCCCTGAGGGTCCCTTCCAGCTCAGGATATTCTATGATTCTATGTGTGTACCTTGAGGAGAAAGTACAAGAAAGAATAAAAAGTTGAGGAATTAGATCCAAAGGCATGTGTGGGATTTGTAAAAGTGGATCAGGAGTCAAACTCCCACAGAGGTAAATGCTGTCATGGTGAAAACCACATGAAACACCTCCCACACACTGGGTGTCTCTACTTCAACTGCTGCTGCCCTAAAGAAACATTCTGTTGGKAAGAGGGAAACTTGGCATTTCCCATACAGAGAACAGCATCTTAAAACTGTGAGGAGTTGCAGAGAAGACTACAAAATAATGTTAAGACAGGCCTAGCCATCTCCCAGTGTCATCAACATAAGACACATCCTGAGACCTGCTCCTATTTCTTGTYTGTCCTTGCATTGCTCATTGCTGARTACCATCTGGGATTGCTGTTTTGGGATTTTGAGTGCTTTACAAGTTTACCATGGTAGCATCCAGCCACTGCAAAGTATCAGAGTGGAGTGATTCTTGTCTTCCCTACTGCCTTTCTGCAAGGTGCTCCTGTTTACATGGGAGAAAAGCCACTCACTTATGCCCAGTGAATAAAACTGGTCTCAGACACTCACACTCAGTGCTGGAAGACCCCAAAATGACACAGATCAGCTGTCAGAAGTGCAGACAAAAAACAACTTGTCTGGAAAGGATGGAAATTTTCTATTCAATGTAGAGTTGTATCACTGGTGGCAGCTGAAGCAAGAGCAGGATGCTTTCTGACAGTAATGAAGAGCCACCATGTCTAAGTTATCCTTTTCCAAAACTCTTCAGTTTGGTGACAGCAATTCCATAATGCTTTTGGCAAACATATAMACAAATTACTACAATCTGACCCACAAAAGGAGGTCCACTTCAACAGGGAAAATCTTCCAAACATATACAMAAATTACTACAATCTGACCCACAAAAGRAGGTCCACTTCAACAGGGAAAATCTTCCAAACATATACACAAATTACTACAATCTGACCCACAAAAGAAGGTCCACTTCAACAGGGAAAATCTTCCTTTTTGAGGGCAGATATTTGCTTTGGTTGCAAAGGATTCAGTTTTCATCTTCTCAGGACATTTTTAGATCTGAATGAGTCTTCCACTAAATTAGAGAATTATTTTCTTAAAGAAAATGATTTTCTTCATTGATTTCCTTGCTTTAGAAAAGAGACTGATTTGTACATGTTGACCTGCAATGTGCTTCTACATCTTGCTTAGATCACACTATAAAGGGTTTAAGTCAGCCAACTGAATTTTTCCTTCTTTTTATGGAACATTGTGTTTTCTTACTGTCTGCCATTAGTAATTATTTATTTTCTGTTAGTTGGTAAGTTTTGCATCCAACTATTAATTATGTCAAACTATTAATTCTTTATATCAGTGACATCAACCTCCTGACCTGATGTAATTTGCTGCTCTTCATTAATTACTCCCTCTTCAATTATTTCTTGCTCTTCATTAATTTCTCCCTCTTCAATTATTTCTTGCTCTTCATTAATTTCTTGCTCTTCAGCTTCTTTGAAGTTTTTCATGGGGTCTGTGATGTGAATGAAGAAATTGTGGTTGTCTTTTGTTACTTTAACCTTTATCAAAGTTGGACCTGTAAAGAAATGGAATATTGTTATTGCTCCCACCAGGCTTCACAACTTGTACTCAAATAAACTCAGCACCTGCAAATTTAAAGCACTCAGAAAAAAGAAAGTGCTCAAAACTGGACTGAACCACGTAGTAGAAAACTAAGATTATCTAAGTTTAGACTAAATATTTAAAAAAATCCTGATAATTAGATCTGAGAGGCAGCAGAAGAACCTGTTGCTTATATTTATTGCATTTGACTGCAAAAATAATTTGAACATTCTTGAAATACCATGCATCTGTTGCTACTGAACAAACAAAAATGAACTGATTTTTCTGCATTTCTAGTTTTCTGGTAGTTCATTTATCCATCAACTCTTAACATATTGGAGGAAAATTAAAAGATTAGTAGTGATAGAGGCTAATGAGGAATTTCTTTAACTGAATTTTTACTCCTGAGACATGAGAAAGCATTTATGGATTAAGAAACTATGCCATCAAGTTAGTACTGAGTAAAAGCAAAATATAAAGAAATAAAGAATTACCTTTTACAAACTCTATCTTCTCTACTTCAATCTGTCCTCCATCAGATGGGAAAAGATACTGATTGGTTCCTGTTACTTGAATGACYTTGTCCCCAGTATTGTAGCCATGAAACTGGAAAAAACAAGTTTTAAATTGAGAAAGGCAGAACCCATGAAAGAGGTAAATGAAGGACAGATGATCAGGATCACACTGTRCTGCTCAACATCTTTTGCTTAGATATTTARCTAATGTAATAAAAAYTTAAGCAAATATCTAGCATCCTATTTTCATATCCAAGTGATTTCTCAGTTATTAACTTAAGTAACTTGTTACATTTGAAAAGCATCATGGAAACTGAGGAGTAGTGGATGAACATACCTGTGAGAGAAAAAAAAAAAGTTCTGGTCAAGTACAAAGAGACAAAGTATAATGCCATGGGATCCCATATAGGGCAGGTAAAGATTCAAYTTTCTACCCTCTAGATTTTGGAATTCAGACACTGTAAATCTAAATAGATTGCTATGCCTTCCAAAGTGCCACAAAAATTACATGAGTGTAGTCAGACTGAAATGTCATCTATTTCTGAGTTTGAAGCCTGCATTTAAGCAAATTTAGACTAAATTATATTGATGTAGGCAAGTTTTGGATGCAACACAGACTCTGCAAATATGAGATGGTGCAAACTGCTGAAAAACTGAACAAATCTAGTGAAAGGTTCCCTCCATTAGTGCATCAGGCAGAAAAAGGGGAGCCACTGTCTCTATTTTACTATCTGGATGTGAGCTCCTGGGATTGCTAGGGACATGAAGCACAATTGCAGTTTAGATTTCATGTGCTTTAGTCTCCAAGAGTAAGCTGAGCTCTACATTCCCCACTGCACACATGCCAATGRAGCTACTTCCTGAAACACAGAAAAAAATGTGTATTTCAGATTAGGGCACATCAAGAACATGAATTTTGAAAGAAGAAATGGAAGAAAAAGTGGTTTCCAGTGTGAACAGTCAAAACTTCAACTAGGTCTAGTGGTCTCCTAATATGGGAGATGGGTCAAGTTCTTATGCTCCCCTTTCCTATCCTCTCCCACAAAAACCATATGATCAATCTATGTTTGTCATATGCACTAAAAAATAAAATTAAGTAGTCTGGTCTAGGATAATCTTAAATAACAAAAACTGCTTTTCAAAACTTTTAGAAAAGGATCTGCTGCTAAAACAATGGAGGTAAAAAGACCCAGTTAGGCTTAATTTGCCCTGAACTCAAATTTCACAAAAGATAATAGCTCTGCTGTAATCTTGACTCTATATATAGTTAGCACTTTTCTAATGTGGTTTTATAATACAACTCYTGACCTTATAAACTTTCTCAGAACTTGATTCTGGAGTGCTCTGMTCTTCCTCAAGTTCAGGGGCTTGTATTGGCTTATTTGGAGATTTCTCTTCAGAAGGTTTTTTGCTGGGCTCTTTAAATCCTTTATCTTTTGTCTCCTGTCCTTTCTTTTTACTTTTCACATTTTCTTCTGTTTCTTGTTCTTCCTTTTGTTTTGCTTCCTCCTCTCGTAATCGGTCCTGCTCCAACTTCCAAGCCTAAATTCAACATTAGGAATTAAAMATACTGTGTTTATCTTTTTACTACAAGACATGTCTTAAGTGGGGCTGAAAAAAGTAGAGGCAAACAAAAACAAAGAAATCAAAGTTTTAAGTTAAGACATGTTTCCAAATATATTAAAAGTCTTACTATATTATGCACCAAATTTTGGATAAAATTACTTATTCATTCAGCCATTGTTGACCACAGGAGATCAATCAGGTCATCAATTCATATCTWACACAATCAGTCACAGGAGAATGATTTTGTTGTATACTTTGCCACAATGTTTACCACCCAACCACAATGCATCACTGGGATTAGTTAACTGCCCAAATGCAACAGTGAGATAAAATGATTTTTTTTTTCAGAAAGAAGAATGAGGTATCAATGCTAAAATTATCAGCCTGCATCAGGAAGAMATTTGAGATGTTTTTGAGTATTTAGGGTTTTGTAGACAGCATTTCTGGGGAGGAAATGGCAAGTATTCAGAGCTCCAAGTCAGGTGTTAGCCTTGCTTGAGCTGTGACAGTTAACACCATTTCTTATCTACATTCCCTATCAGGACTTGAACTGCACAGCATTGCACACTATGAGTAAGATGAGACATACTTTGTCTGTGAGGATTCAAAAAAACATCAGGKGAATAGAACATCAGATTTGTGCAGATTAATGGACAGCATCAATGCTAAGAACTAAGAAATTGTGTGCTTAATTCCTACCTCAGCCAGAAGATTACTGTGTAAACCTGGGCAAGTCAACCAATCTGTAGTGAATGATCATGGACTAAACCTCTAAAATGGGATTTTCTAACATAAGGTACCATATTTACATTCCCTGATTTCAAAGAGCTGTAGACAGTGAAAGCAGAGTTGGGTACAAGTACTTCAAGGAATTTGGATMTTATCTTTTCATACCTTTACAATCATACAACTTCAGTAAATAGTAGGATATTATCCATAACTTCCATTTCCTAGTATTGCAATCATAAATAGCTTTGGAATGCCTAGTATAACTCTAAATAGTCTTCTCTTAAGAAAAYAACATAACATAACTCACAATCAGGAAGGAATAAATTAAAGGAAACAACATATAAAAAAAAATAATGAAAATAATGAAGAAAAACTAAGAGAACTCAGTCAAGCCTATGTAAGAACAAAGGCTGATCTTCCTAAGAAAGCTATTTAGTCCATTTCAAAAACACATCTATTTTTGCCTCACCTTTAGAGAATTTTCTCTGATAATGGGACCTTCTTCCTCCTTGGGTTGAGATTCTGTTTCATTCTCAGGTCCAGATGTGGCACCTTTGAAAAGTGAAAGGGAAAATAAGCAATAAATATAGGGAAATGGAATAATTTTTTAAAATTGAAAAAAAAGAGAAAAGATGTGTAAGTAAATAAAGATGTATATTTAAAAATTGTAAAAGAATAAAAGTACAATAAAGCAAATATTAAATATTTCTAGAAATAAAATACAAAGTGTGTTATCTCAACATATGCAAAGACTGGCTCTCTGCTTCTTGCTGTTGAAGGCTTTGTTCTGGCAACGTGTTTGTTTGTTTGCTTTTTAACTGAGTAACAACAAGCTCAATACCAGAGTCATAGACATTACAACATTTCCAGAAGAAAACCCCCCAAAAAATACCATCTGAACCTTCAAACCTTCACTAAAGAAACACCATATCCCTCATTTACTATTATGGCTTCATAGMATCTATGACTTATTAAAAGTGTATCTTTTATGAGTCTGATTTTATACTACACTTGGATAYCTCATGTTTACCTTCTAGAAATAAAAATTAAAGTATACTAGCAGAAACCTCTAGATAAATTACTTTGTATGAWAAAGCAGAAATTGCAGTGTCAGTGAAATTGAAACCACCTAAGGACACTGTTGCCCATCTGCATGTTCCAGCTAGAGGTGATTATCTCCTTTCAGCAAGTGAGCTGCTCTRTGAATCTTATCTGTCATGAAGCACCACATGGGCAAGATCCAATCWAGCTCCTGTGACAGCTAGATATGTACAAATTATGATTTAGTGSTCATAACTGTACTTTTAGCTTCCAAACTATAATCAGAGGTGTTAATTGGGTTGAGGACTAATGTTTCTATTTTTGTAAATGCTAACTGCTAAGCCTGGGAGGTTTCAARTGCATTCTAAAAAAAGGTAAAAAAGCAAAGGTTAAACATAAATCATTGTTAATACCATTTAAATGCACAAGTAGACAACCTTGACAGAAGTTCTTTTTTGTCAATAGGGGTTTTCAGCCTCCACTCCCTGCTGAACAGTTACTGTATGAACTGCTTACAGCTTTCACTACCCAAAATGTTGCTGGTAATTCAAGTTTGCTCTGCAGTCTTCTCAATTCCAGTTTCCAGCTTTAGCTTATAGCCCACAGCTTCTGACTTCAAGCTTTTATCCTGCCCTTTAAACAGGAATTTTACTGAACTATYTTGCCAGCTTTAACTATTGCTCACCTCTTCATATGTTCAGTCATCTGAACAGATTCATATTTGTATGTAATCAGCTGTAAACAGCTATGAGTATGCAAATTGCTACTAAAGGTCTGCTTTCAGAACAGAGAAAGATGCAGGCTATTAAAACATATACATTTCATTAATTCCAAAACATATATATGCCTATATAGATGTCAAAATAAGGTTATCCTATGAAAAAACATATTCAATTGTGCTCTGAACAAATTTGTGCCTCAGTACTTAGAATGAAAAATTAATTTCCTAGAATAAAACAAAAAGATAYCCACATTTRGCTTTCTTAGTAAAGCCAGTTTTTTTTGACAACACATGCAGACAGTCTAAGAGGGCCCTCTGCCATGGCTTTTTCCAATTTAAAAGACTATTTCCTTACCCATCATCTCTTTTTGGTATTTAGCTTCTTCCTCTTTCACCCAGTCTTCAATTGTGCTGGCCACCACCTCAAGGTATTTCCTGAAAAATAGAATATCCCTCTATTTAACATAATACAGTTTTTGCTAATATGATTTCAGGTTAAACAAGATCACTTGGCTTCTCAGTTTCTTATACAAGTATTATTCTACAATCTTTGAGACAAGGCTTGTATTTGACAGGGTTTCTCTCAGTTTTTACAGGAACTGGTACTTTTTCCCAGCTARTATTTGCTTAGTACATGTTATACTTGGAACTTTGGTTACTGTTTCTGCAAAGAAATACAAGAAACTTGTCTGCCAAAGAACACCTGCTCCTAAAGAAAAATCCAGGAAATCAGAAGAGACATTCAGTTTCAAGATGGTTCAGACTTGTTCTAATCCTCACTGTTTTATCACTGAATAGTTTATTTTCTTAGTAGTTCTTGATTGACCTGTTCTTGATTCTTTTAGAATATGCTTCATTTGTTTGTTCAGGCACTCAAGTGTTATTGTAAGCAATGTCAAGCTCTTCTTTATTGGTGTGACAAGAAAGATGTCTGGAAATTGTCATCCAAATCCAGATTAGAGAATTATAACCTGGCATAAATTGATAATACTCACAAGTAACAATTAAGTTGAAGTGAGAATTGAATGAYAAGCTGATRCAGGGTTTGCAGCTGGCATCTGCARTTGSATTGTTTCATCTTCCAAAGGTGTCWGAAATSACTGCTAAAGTAATTCAGTGTAAAAAGCTGCTTTCAAGAAAGGAGGAAGCCTTGGAATCTCATATGCAGCTGCCACTCAACCCTTCATTCAGAGCTTTATCACAATTCTTTAAAGTAAAATTCTTCACGTGTGCAAAATTAAAAGGAGCTTTTGAAGGATTCAGTTTCTGCATCTTCATGACGTTTTGTAATTACAAGTTCAAGATGATTCAATTGTATTAAAAAACTCTGTATGGAGAAGAGGCTTTGGATATGACGATGCAGACAACACAATCAATTCTTGACCTCATGATGGTTTTAAAGTTCTTATTGCAGCATTACATTGTATATCTGAGAGAATGAATACATAATCCATGTACACAGTTCATGTGCAGCTTCAAGACACAAAAGTCTCTCCAAATTTTTGCAACGTAAGTGCAGTCTGCTTTGGGAAACTTGCATGGAGAAACTGTTGATCAGTACATATACTCAGTAGAGAGAAGGTTATTCTGCTTGTATCTGAAGAAAAGTGTGCAAGCTATAAAAACTTAGAGTGTTGAAAACACAAGGCAAGACTAGGTTGGAACATAGAGTTGCCAGTACTGGAATAATTTGAAGATGAATATACGTTATAAATAAAAAAAGAGATTATTCGTGTGGAAAATATGTTAGGCCAATGAAACAGTCATTCAAAGTCTAAAATACACATTCTATTAATATGTATTCTGATGTCACTACTGCCAATGTCTGACTCAGAAGCATTTCTCAGAAAGGATTATTCTTTTCCAGTAACTTGTGTAATGTGTTTACTATGAAACTGTAAACAAATGTCATTAAGATGAACTTTGAGGAAAAGAATAGTTTTGATAGTGCCTGAATTCATTTGGCTTCCTGATAGAGTGGCCACTTATCCTAAGCAGAGTTWAAATGTTTCATATACACACTTATCAGTAGCATCCATTAAAATTCACAGGCAATCTTCTGCTACCTATCCTTTAAACAGCACAATTTCTGAATTTTTGGATGTTCTACATGAACTACAGGACCTGATAGCCATTAAGAAGAAGGAAGGTAACTGGGATCTCCAGGAGAAAAAGCTGCTGCAATGTCAGAAACGTAATTTCCTCTTTGCATGAGAATTTGCTGGAACAGGACTCATTGTAAACAAAATGAAATTATTCTGTGATTCTGTAACCAACAGATTAGCAGATAACAGAATTCTATTTCAGACAGAAACAATGAAACAACCTTACAAAGTTGGTCTGTGTTCTGTAAGATGTCACAATGAAGAAATAGCAAATGAACACAGGTAGAGACCTCCTTATCAAGCAACACATCTGTTGTGCATTTCTAAGTCTTCTGTGCTGGAAGTGTGATTATTAAAGATATAATAAAATTAGATTAATAGTAATTTCAATAAAATAAAGATCAATAAATAGTTACTAAACTCATCAGGAGTCAGTTATTTCATACAAAGGTAAAACACTACCACTTAATTAATAAGTAGARTTTGTGGCTGTTTCTGGTGACTTGGCAGGATCTGGAATTGCAGGCAACAGTTTGAAGCACTCCAGGTATTTAATGAGTGTCTTCCACAGAAGTGTTATGTTGCTTGGAAACATACACAAGCAAATATTTATGATASTTTGCCTGGAAATCTGAAATGATCTTTAGCAATAAAGCTGAATAAAGTCTGAAAATGTACTGATTATTTTGCAGAGTATAGGCAGGTATCTATGTCATGCAACACAACCAAAAGAGGGCCTATAGCTCTTCAAAAATTCTAAGCAGCACACACAGCAGTGATGTTGAATACATCTATGAAAAAAGAGCAAGGCCAAATCATCCTGTTCATACCATTTTCTTTAGGAACTCCTTGCTGCTTTGAAAGAGAACCTGGTGAAATGATGCTGAACAAAGGTGTGCCCCATGCAGAAGCTGTCTTTAATGTCTAATYCTTGTTACCAGTGGATGTGGCAGARTAAGAAGGAGGAATCACCCCAAAGTGAATAACAATTTCACCCCAAAGTRAATAATAATGCAACTACCACATAATGTGCATCATTTTTACTTTGGATGCAAAATTAGCAACTTTTCTTTTGCAGGTTTCTTTGCAGAGCTTTTCCCATTTCTCAGTTGGCCTTGAACTATTTCAGTGCCCTTTCAAATTGTTCTACAACCCCACAGATGAACAGTTGGTACCTGCCTCTGCCCCTACAGCACCAATATGCTGTTGGGATGAGGTGTTAGTGTTTGCAAACACCAGGCAGATGTTGGATGTGCTGGGTGTGTGACCTCTCTCTGGTGTTTGGATCTCACATGTGTCAACCCTGCCCAGACACCCTGAATACACTAGGCAGCCAAACTGACATCAACTGTTCATGTTCAAGAAATTTGAATTAGGCATTAAAAGTCCATTGTCACAAAGAAGAGTAACAATAGCTGTCAGAGCAAACTTCTGTGTAACAGACCTTGAGACCACTGATCCTCTGCTTGGRTCTATCTGAACACAAGGCCCAGCTTCACTTGATCTTTTGGCAAAGGTTTTAGTTGCTATATAAATGCAAAACCACTGACTAGACTTTTAGTGGATCTAAATGCCCAACAAAACACAAAGCAGCCAGCATTTTCTGCAAAGAACTTTGAATTTCTGCTGGTAAATCTCTTCTGGCTCTGGTCTTAGTCACAAAAGCCTGTTTTCATGGCAAATAATTTAAGTCCAAGCGCCTGAAAAGCTGAAATGCACCTACACAGAGTTTCTTGACTGAGAGCAAATATTGTCAGRGATTGAAACAGTTCATGCCTCCATTATCAAAACACAAAGTACAATAAAAAATACAGCTTTAGAAAGGCACATCTTTCTATTCAGTATTCAAACCTGTTCAAATATTTAAGTGTCAACAAAAGTTTACACTAAAAAATCCCCCACAATCTGATAAATGAGACACTAAACTTAGAAAGGGATACCTGAAGACAAATTTGGGGGGAGGGGGCAGAGAAGCGGGGAGAGGAGGTGTTTTTATATTGGATAATTTGCTTGAAATTCTAATTGATAAATCTAACTAATCCATAGAGCACCAGAACGATACAGTTAAAGACAGCTCAGCTATCTCTCCATGGCATTTTAACATTTCTACATATGAGTGCATGGACACTTATTCAATTTTCAGTCAATTATTTGGAATAACAGATCGATCCACATCCTCATTTATATTATTGCTTCAGTGCAAAAATGTATTCAAAAATAAATAGGCCACTGACAGAAGATCTAATAGTAGACATATCCACCACCTGCACACTTCTACCTGTGGAACAGGTAGTGACTAGGAATTAAGAAGAATGTCTTCTTCAGTGAAAAAAATTGTAATACTAACAAAGAGATCTGAACTTTTCTCAAAAGAAATTTTGCACAGAATCACTCAATTTATGTATATATAGTTGAAAAACCTGGTAAGTGCATACTTAGAACTTTTTTTTAACATCCTTCACCTGAAATGTCCCCAGTACAATATTCTTGATGTGGTATTCTTAATATGATTTTATGTGCATGTGTGCATTATTTATATTTTTATGGTTTGTGATAAGGAGCTACACACTGCATTGTTCTCACTCAGAAAAGTTCAACAGAATTTTTTTGATATGGCACTTTTTGCATGACACACAAAGGTGTCACATAGACATATCTTAATTTCAAAGCTTTTCCCCAAGCACACCCATGCAGGTTTTAATTGAAAATGACTGTGAATGAGACAAGGAAGAKAATATCAATTACCTGAATCCAACATTGGAGTGCAGAGCAACATTCCAAGTCTCTTGGCACAGACGATATTGGTTCATAGGATTGTGAAAAACCAGTAGCAAAGAGTTACTTTGGGTATGATAAAAGGAATCAACACATCTATATTCTTGGGATGCTGTCTGAAGAACCTGAAAAGGAAAGAAATAAAGGTACATCTTCCCTACAGACAGTAATATATGAGCAGAGGCTACACAGCACAGCTTTGAGTAAAAGGTGCTACAAAACTTTACTCTCCTACAAGATGTACTCAAAGCATTTGGATTCCAGCAAGCTGAATTATTCAGGTAGGTGGAAATGGAAACTGTATTGCTCTTCATGTTGAGAAAAGAGACTCTGCTCCACCTTCTGACTGACCATGAATGAAAAAGTTCTTCTACATAGAAACCAAATTAATTAAAATATTGATCAAATATTTAAACAAGTTTAAATAATAAAATACCTAAATAAACAGTAAATGCAACCAGAATCATCTTACACCAGATAAAAAGAAAATGAATTTGCTTCTTTTAATCTCAGTTGAGCTTACTCGGTATTTAATTTCCTACAGTATGGCCTGCACATCCCTGAGATTTACTGTGATCTACATTATTCCACTCTGCACTGCCCTATCATTTTCAATATTTATATTGCCTGAAGGTTGAAAATTATTTTACAGTCACATACACTGTGCTAATGAGTCCCAAAACTTCCATGGAGGGTCATCCCTAAGGGCAAGGTTGTTTTGTCTCCATCAGATGTTTAGCTAAGAGATTGCTGTCAAAYAGGACAGCTCCAGCTTGGCCAAACCAGGAAATAAAAACCCATTACAYTAAATTGCACATGAAGAACTGAAAAGCAGCTAAAGCAGTTTCAGTAAAAATGAAAAAGTGATAAAACAGAATCAATTATCTAGCAGGAAAACATCCTGAGCTCCACTACTAATACTTTCTATAGTGTTCTGTGGGGTATGAATGAAACTGSCAGTTCATCAATACCTGAAGAAGAACAYGTGGCTGAAAATGCTCTTCCATACTCCATTCTGTCAAGCAACGTCTCTGTATCTTTTTTATTTCTTCTAAATTTTCTCCTAGGCCATAATTTTCCAGCCTCACCTCAAAATACAACAAACCAAAATGAATGTCAACACTTGAGTGTCAGCTGTATTAAATTGACTGTAATCTGATTGGATTAATAGGCAGCACCTTATGTTGCATCACAATTAACTGCATAATGAATCATATGTGCAGACCCATATGGCACTGTTTAATAAAAAATACAATTACTCCCAAGGGGTTTTGGGTTTGGATTTTATGACCAAATATTTTAAATACTTTTATTATTAGCTTATATGTTTTTGAGCTCTGTAAGCAATTATGAGTTTCAAACATATCTATTTGAAAGGTGTAATTTTAAAATTGCTATGTTTATTATGGGATGTATGGCAGACAGGTGATTCTGAAGATACCAAACCACACAGTTTACCAGTGTGACAYAGTTTGACAACTTCTTTTAAACTTTCATGCTCAACAGAATTATCATTAGCAGCTTTACTGAGACCCGTCACCTTGGAATTCAAAGAAAGTGATTTCACAGTGCTTATAAGTTATGTCAGTATTTGTAAAACATTACAAGATCAACATTTGCATGCAGCATTGCAAAGGAATCCCCAGTAACATGTCCTGGCATTGAGCAGKATCTTCTGTTGCCTCATGTAAAGCCCAGTTGACCACATTGCTCACACTTGCCATTTCAGAAAAAAGACGATCCAATTTTTTGTTCACAAGAGGACCATCAAGATCATCTCCTTCATCTTCGTCCTCTGTTTCTGAGTCCTCTGGAAATTGAAAGCAGAATTTAAAGAATTGTTCCAGAAATTTCAGCTTTGCTAAGGGTGGAATAATGCMATTTCTTTAGTCTCCCTGATGAGATCAACATCAAGTTGAAGCTTTCTTTTATCACACTTGTCCTATACAYGATCAGCTCTGCTACCCTTCTTTACTAAAAGAACACTTTGAAATCCAGTGACAAGTGACAGATAATTAAATAAAATTTAAAAAAAAAAGAGAACACTGTATAAAACCCACTCAAATCATCCTCTTTATTTGACCTATGCTGSCCCACTAAAAATACTCTCAGAAGTATCCTCTAGATTCATAAACAAAGAATMATTTTTCTTCACACTTTAACAAGCAGTCCTTTGTGCAGATGAATTAAAATAAAAGGCAAAACCAATTGTTTTGATATTTTCAAAAAATGCAAATTCTAAAGTTTAAAATGATTTGGTTTATAGAGATTCATAAGCAACAGACAGAATATTACTTCTGAGGATCTGACCAGTCATTCTATTGTTACAATGAGCACCTGATCTGAACAGCATCACATGAGGACTTTAATTTCTATCTCTTAATTTTTTAAGATTATTAGCTTTTAATAGAATCCTTTATTCCCTAAGTTAGGGCTGAGGTCAGTAATATTTGACCAARATTCACATGTGCAAGGAAGTTACTCTTTCTGGCAGAAAATACACCACAAAGTATTTGTTTTTAAGTGCCTTAACCAGCTCAACTCCCAAATATATACCTTTAGGCTCTGCTTCTCTTGGAAATTACTCATGTTTATTGACTGGCTTTAGAAGACTGAAGAAACCTAAAAGCAAATGTTTTATCTTCCWGGTRTTTGCTTTTGTGTCACMGAAGTGCTGATATRTTGYTATGCTTGTCAYTGMAAAATTTAATTTCGTGACTARTATAAAAGCAAAMTAAMCTARCACCYAAAAATGTTCCCAAGCTTCAGAAGRAAAGCAGATAAGCTGGGCACATTTTTTCTGCTTCAGCCTATCTAAGCTGATTGCTTAGACATSTCTATTAGGAAAGCATGRGTAACATCACAAAGTMCTGCATCCAGCTCTGGGGTCCTCTACACAGAGAAGGCGTGGATCTGCTGAAATGGGTCCAGAGAAGGGCCAATGATGGTGATTAGAGGCATGGAGAACATCTCCTGTGAAGACAGGCTTCATCTGTTCAGCCTGGAGAAGAGAAAGCTTTGGGGAGACATTATTGCAGCCTCAGGTGAGACTTTCTAGTGGGAGCTGTAGTGATAGGRGTGATACTTTTAAAGGAATGGAGGATTCAGACTGGATCTAAGGAAGAATTTTTTATTATGAGAGTGGTAAARCAYTKAAACARGTTTCTGAACAARGTGGTGGATGCTCCATCCCTGGAAGGACTGGAGATCAGATTGGACTCTGAGTAAACCCGACCTAGTTGAAAATGTCCCTGCTTATTGCAGGGGTATCAGGATAAATGACCTTCAGAGGTCCCTGCCGACCTAAACAATGATCCTATGAACCTATAGGTATAGTTGTCTAAACTGACCTAGTTTCYACTTTTCCTGAAAAAAATAATCACTTGTATTTAATGTTGCTTTTTGGCCAACACATTTCCTTTAACCAGGCCAACAAGTTTTCATTATGTCAGAATCTGCAGAAGAAACTGTAGATTTTCAAAAATTTCACTCTGCATCATCTACAGTTGTTAAAGTTGTAATACAAAATAGCTTTTCTCTTTATTCTATTGTTTCTATAGAGTTACTCAATGCATAGGCTATACAATACTTGAAAATTTGGTGACTTGTACAAGGAAGAAAAATCACATGCCTGCAATGGCAAATGATACTGTAAGACAAATAGTGGATTCAAATTCTTCAGGACTAATGCAAACAGAAAGCTTTTTACCAGAGCCACTTGAAGAGTCCCTGCTAAACTTCTTTTCCATAAGAAAGAGTTGTCTCAGCTGTCTTGCAAACATGTCTGGCTTATCCCAAGGGATACAAGACTCTTCAGAACCACCTTCAACAAGAGATCCAGAGCTCTCCAGGAAACCAGAGTCACTCAGCCCAGTCAGCTTCAGGCTTTCAAAAGTAAACACTCTGAAGGCTCTTACTACTTCAGCCCAACTCAGAAGTTCTAAAAAAGAATCACAATCATTAACTGAAAATGTCCTTACAGCTCAGCAGAAAATAAATAGAAGAATATTTAAGTGTATTGTTCTTGGCAACTTTGCAAAAGCCAACAGCAATTTCCTTAATGGTACTGGATCAACATATGTGGGCTACATTTTACACTGCATTCGAAGTTGAATGCTTCCAAATTGCAAAATGATATGCCTAAGTATTAATCCATCTTAAATGAAGTGTTCCCTATACCTGAATACCTTCTGGCTCATTAACTTTATATAAACGATGTTGTTTTTAAAGTACTGAGCAGACTTTATCAGACTAGTTAGTGACTAGTTATTTTCAGTTCACAAAATGCTTCCATTATATGCAGCTTCTCAGACAAATACCAACTTTTTTCTCTCTTCAGACAGAATTTTACACATTATTTAAACAGAATATGCAAGGTACATACTTCTTTGCAAAGGCAAAGGCAATAATAAATCCTATTTATGCTTGTATGCATCCATGTCCATATAGCAATGAAAATCATGCAAAGAACTAAACTTTAAGACAGGTAGTACAATGTCCAAATCAAATTAAGAATATAGTGAGTTAGAAATATTTCTCTTGAGGGTGGTTAAGCACCTAAGCATGTCATATATCTTGAAAATGCTGGATCTCTCATCTTSTGTTTAAATTAATCATCCTCTTTGATAAAAGCAAAGGCTTTGCTAGCTAAGCTGGAAGGGTCTGGCAGTATMATATGGTCCAGTGAAGACCATCAAATTCAACACCTATCAGCTGGAAGTCTATAGCAATACTGAATACTTCAACCACTTACTGTGCAAAATGAATATACCAACAACTAGAAACAACACAGCCAAGTGTAAATTAATCCAACACAAGGGACTGCAGGATGAAAGAGCTGGGAAAGTACCTTCAAATCCTTATATGATGACATAAATGTAACCAAAGGGATTTGGATGTTTATATTTCTTAATAACCTAGAGCAGACTTTTGATACTACCTGAGGGTATTTATGTAGTCTTTGGGATTKTTTCCCAGTATATGTCATGGTGGCAAGCACACTCCAAGAAAAGGTAACTGCAGAAGTGACTATGGTTGGAGAAGTGAATGTATTCTTCRTTTGATAAAGGACTGTTATAAAGCAGTTTCATGATTAATGTCAACAGCTTACACAGAATGCATTCTGGAGACTATGTTTTGTTGCATAAAAATTGTCTACCTAAGATACATGTGCTTTACCACCAAAATGGCATTGATAAATAAACACATTCAACGTCAGTGTATCTCAAAATGCATTCTACATTCTAAGATCAAAATTGCAATTTTTACAGCTATGTTTTTCCTCAGAATTAGGAAGCATTTGTATGTTTGCAAATATAAATAAATAAAGTCCTTCTGAGATACTTCCATCTCTTAGTCATTCAATAGTCAACACTCATACTGTCTTCCCCATTAACCACGAGACTGAAGTCTGAAGTTAGGGTAACTTTTACAGTAGGCTATAATTACATATAAGCAGGAATGTGAAAATAGGAAATTCTGCAAAGGTTTTTTTGGCAGCTTAAAAATCTTGTCCCGGAATTCGTGCTATTTAAGAGGGTCATCAACCATAGTAAAATAAAAAAGCGAAATTGTATCAATGAAAATCGTTTTACCATCAGTAAAATAATGCATGAGCTCGTGATCTCTGGCCAARCGTTTAATGCTATTTTCAGTTGAAGGAGGGGTGAAATGGATAAGTTCTCTAAGAGGCAGTTTATCCATCATTTCATGCTCTATCTTTTCTGGATTAAAGTTTTCCTGGACCTGGAACAACAATCAAAGTGCCAGAGTTAAAATAAACTTTCACACTACTGACTTTCTAAAAATTATTTGAATAAAGAAGTCTTTCTACAGCAAAAGACATTAGCATGTGCTTAAGTCAGTTGCACATAAATTTAAATTTGAACATGTGCTCACAGTGTGGTTTTGAATCATGGTATCAGATACTGTAGGCAGAAAAACATTAGACACATGTAAGAGAATGACTGACAGCATAATAACAGACATTTATTAGAAGTTATTTGCCTATGCTAGCTAGACTTAAAAATACAGAAATWTGTACTGATCTATTAAGAGTGACAGCAGGTACCTTTCATATATGTTTCAGCTCGTCTGTGCTACTTTTCACTGTAATTAAATCCATAAACTTATTGATCAAGCTGTAATAGAGGCATCCCTATATATTTAAAGATTGATTTTTTCAGACTTGGTCGTATCTTTCATTTGCACTCCTTTTAGTATTACATCTTTTCCTTCAAAAGCATATTCCAAATGTTTTYTCTCTACTCTGTCCTCACACATTGTGCTATATCCTGAATTTCATCTTCAGCAAGTACATAAAATACATCTAGAGTATGTCTGCTAAGAGCATCTCTTACATTGATTACTCAGTCCTTCCTTCTGCTTGAATACATCAAATGTGTCAAACTTGACTTGTTTCTGAATAGTTTTTATCAATGGTTGTCAAAGCATTCCACAGATAATTTGTAATCCAGGAAGCCAGGCAGACACTCCTTAGCTGTGAAATCTGAACTGTATTATCATTTGTTTTATCTGCAGTGAATCTTTAAAGTTTAATGGTAAAATTACWCCTTGTCTTTGAGAAAGTTTGAGATGTTCATAGTGGCTTTTTTTGGTTCAGAAAGTCTGGGAACTGTTATTTTTCAATAGTCCCAAACCTTGTGGTCTCTAAACTTTTCTGCCTTTGTTAGAATTTGGCAGTATCTTGATTACACACTGTGCTCCAATCATCTAGCCAGCCTGAATACACTTCTTGTGGGCATTAACAGCACATATTTTCTTATACTTCTCTACATCTTAGTATTCAGTCCAATCTACATGTTAAATCACAGTTAAAAAGCATTTTCTGTAATATCTCTCATCTATGMCAAAGGCTAAAAATTCATATTAATAATGCAAATAGATCACTGGAATCAGTATGTTTGTGCTCTATGTTTGKAAGGTGTCCTCTGTCACTAAGTCATTGCTTCTTAAGTAAACTAAACATATGTTGGTACATCCATCTCAGTAGAAAAAAATCTGAGCTATGCTGACCTGTTTTGTAAAAACAGCACTCCTCCCCTTGTGGTGCATTGAGAATTCACTGCCTGTGAACTTTGGAAGTATTTTTATATGATAGGGAGCACTGTACCTTCAGCAGGTGCAGCCTCTGAGCCAGGGCATCGTGGTAGTTAAATATCAGAGGGTACTGGGGGGCTACAGTCTCTTGTTCACCATATTTAGGAGAAAAATACTCATACAGATCCTGTTTAAAAAGAAAAGAAAGAGATAGTAAACCCCAATAATGAGTTTGTCATTTTAACAAATGAACAAAAGACAACACAAACCTGTTTTTCACTCCAAGGAAGTGAAAGAGAAGGAAGGACAGAGATGATATGATCTGCAAGGGCACGATGTAGCTCATCTCCCTGAGGCTCTGCTGCCACCAGACTCGGTGGTGTAAGGTCTTCTTCAGTTGCAATAACCTGGCAAATATAGTTTATGTTAGCTTTCACTACAGTATGAGTGCTGCTTAACTTCACCACAACTACCAAGCAAATCGTGCTATAAGCTAAGCATACAACCAGGAATTCTGTCAGGAAAGAAAAGTGTAAATTTTTTCTACAAGCAGCAAAAGGACAATTTTCCAAGTTAGTTCCTGCACAAAGCAAGGATTATGGAAAACAGAATTAAATGTTTTTCCTATTAGTTGCTTTTGAAAGGATGAGAAGAAAAACATTTCCAACTTGAGATGTTACAAATCGTTAAGGAACACAGGTAATTAAAAACTGTTCGTCTATTATGTGATGGACTTTGAGTATTCTTACCTGGGTCTATTTTCAGACTAAGTTATAAAAAGTTAAAAACCCCCAAACTGTGCTGAAATATTACCCCTAAAAGAAGCAGGATTTCCAAATCAGTGTGCCTCTTCTAAATCATAGATCATGCCTGAAGTCAACAGAAGTCAGATCTGTCTAGAAACAGCATCAACATTTTTATGTTAGGCTTGTCCTAAGACCTTTGAACTGAGTAAATCAGCAAAAGTTCAGTATCAATAAAATTGCTGTAGGACAGGAAAACTTGTTATTGACTTAGAGAAGAAATTAGACCTTTCTACTCATTCAATTATATTTGTAGCCTTTTATCAAATTAATTATGGAATCACACTATATATACAGGGTAAGTGCACAATATAAAAGAAAATCAAAGTTAGGATTTTTGACTCCTTTGTATTGAACGTCCTTGTTCAGTGCCACCATGCACAGCCTCATATTTTAGGTTGAAGCAGATGGATTTATTATCTTTGACCAATTCATCATATCAGGTCTAGGCCAAATTAGCCACAGAAATCAAAAAGAGAMCATTCCCACCTGTTCCAACATGCAGCACAGCATTAAGGATACAGAAATGTACTCATCAGGAACGTGACTCAGCAAGTCATTGTAATATCTCATGTCCACAGAAGGAGGCAAAACACAAGTTTCTTCAACTGCTGTATTAAGAGATAAAACATTAAGATCTGTTTATTCAGAAGTGCCAATTTATATTCCAAGTCAGTTCTGCAGGTTTGCAGAAATACAAAACTGTTGACTCTATCAAAGGTAGGGAGGCCCTGCAGAGAGACCTGGACAAATTACTGAGCTGGGCAACCATCAGCCTTATGAAACTTAATAAAGRAAAGTGTGTGGGTCCCTTCCCACTCAGAATATTCTGTGGCTGTGTGAACCTTCAGACAATATTTATTAAAAGGAGTCTAACAAAGTCCATTACTGAGATCTTTTAAATGTGACTGTGACTAGGAGTAGATAGAAAAGTGATTTTCTAAAGAACTGGGTCATTACCACAGCAGTTTTCAGACACTTTGATAATGAATTCAACAGGTTACATATCTTCAGCTTACTGAGCAAATACTTCCAAGGACTCATGCCATCAGATGAATAAATGGTTTGACAGAGTGAACAACTACATAWGGATGCTTTAATCCTTAGAACATACCCTCTGCCAAAATTACTGGTGGCAGAATTTCTTCTTGTTTCCCTTTCTTCTTTGAAGGTGTCATTGGTGGTTCCTAAACGAACAAAAATAAAGATAAAAAAATCAGAAACCATAAAACAAGTCAGTGTTGAACAGATAGGCAGGAAAAATTAATTTCATTTAGCTTTGGTTACTCATCCTGGACTAGAGGCTAAGCTTTTAAATGGAACAAGATAGTATGAATGTAGTTTTATAAATGCTTTAAATGAGCATTCAGGAGTCTGCTACAGATGGAATAACTCAAATTTTTCTCTGTCACTAGTGTATGTAAGCTACTTTATTCTGCTCTCTTCAGCTTTTGTTCTACTATGAATAAAACTAGAGAAACTGATCTTGCATAGAACTAATAATATTTTTTTTGACAGTTCATAGATCTGCAACATTGCATAGTGTCTCTGTGCAGGCATATTGATTTTTCAGACACAAGAATGTATCATCAGACACTATTTAGGGAATTTCTACACCTGTGATACTTTATGACTTTAGGATCCTTCCAATTTTCCTTTTCCTGTTTCCCCAATGCTCAGCTACTTTTTCCCATTTTCTGAGGTTTTAAATGCTGAAGACAAAAAAACAAATTTCATTCACTGAAAGTTACTTGTAGTGACAGTCCAAGGTGGATTTTTGAATTCCAGCCTACACTTAGTTATTCTGAACAAGAAAAAAGGATCCTTGCCTCAGTTGGAGSTGGTTCTGTTGATTTGCTCTCTGGTAACAAAGGCACATTAATAAACATGCTGTTTTCCAAGTAGTTGCAATGCTGTCTTCTCCAGTCCAGGCAGTCATACATTAAACAAGCAACGTATTCAAACAACACTGAACCAAATTCAAGCTGTGAGAGAAAATCAGAGACAAAKCATGGAGTTTGCATATAAAAGTGCCATGTAACTCAGTGACAGGAGTCATTAGCTCTTTAACAGATCTACATCTGTTTATAAATCTTCCAAAAGATTTTTTCCTCCATAAATTCAAAATATTTTGTAGAGTTATTCTAAAGCMTCCTTCATTTTATTTGCCTCAACACTGCTACAGCACAGTATGGACTGTATGTTACCTAAGTGCTTTAGCTGTTAGAAAGCCTAACTTAACAGTAACTGTTCAAGGTCTGCTATCTTGCAAATGGAACTKAAGTTAATTTTTTTTTGCATGGAAAGGAATGGGAGAGGAAAATGAAAGTATTTTGTTTATATAAATGTGTACGTTTTTACTAGTCAAAACATGCATCGTATTTGCGAGGCCAGTCATTCACCTGCCTTAAAAGGATAAAAAACAAACCCCCAACCAGGTAATTAATATGATCTCATATTATTTTCTGTATTTCTGCTGCACTTTGAGAACAAAGAAACCCTCAAGAACAGCACACTGAAATCCACAGTTGTGAGTGAAGGAATGTCAGCATACTGCCCAAATGTCTGAATTGAGAGTGCTGTACCTGCAAAGTCTGACAAGGAAAGAGCCATGGTGYTTGAGGTCATGTACTGTGGTTTTCACAAAAGCTTGGGAGGACTAAAAAGAATAGTAGCAACTGGTGTTTTAAACATTCAATGTTTTTGTACAAATACCAAAATCCTGTTGGAGACCACAAGAAACACTCAAGTTTCAGCAGCTTTAATGSATGTATTCTACCCCTGTACATCCTGGACCTCGTGGAAAGGACAGAATTACTATAAATTTTAGAYAATTTCTGTCAAAATTCCTTTTCTGAGTGACTCTCACTTCTGTGAAAGTAAGAAAACTCTCTTGTACTAAGTTTGCCTCTAAGAGGTGGCCAACAACATTGGATGCCTTGACTAAGTTTCCTAAAATAAAACACAGTGAAGAAGCACTTCTGACCTTMAGCACTAAGAACAATAACAAACCCTTAAAAAGTATTAAGCATCTGCTTTCCTCATCTCAGTGCTTCTTTATGACACTGCATAACAGGCAACCCCAAATCACTGATGAGTTATGAAATACTTCTCTCAGTTTTCGTAACATTTAAAGACTAGAAGAGACACTTGGAAAAGAAATTCTATTAGCAAAACCAGAATGTTCATCAGTATTTTTGCACCTTTGTTTTCCCAATTCAATACTGTTCTGAAGGTTAGTATAACACTTTTCCATTCATGTATTACTTAAAATATATCAYTAGAACACACTAAAGTTGGGAGTGTTTTCAATGCACAGTTTTTAAATTAAGATTTTTTACAAAGTTATAAGCAACAAAATCTGGTGCCACTCAATGGGATCTAAGCAAAGTTTAGTTTAATTACAATTTTGTGATTCAATTTGCCTGGTTTCTCCTCAGGACATAGAGGACATAGAGGACATACTTGTCAAAAGTTTTTCAAGTCCAACCATTAGTGACTCTTYAACAAAGAAAATATTTTTGGAAGTATTTTAATTTCTAAAGATCTCAAATCTGAGAGCAGAGATTACTTGCTGTATGCAATACTCTGTCATTCTTATATTAAAGTCCAACAATTTGTCACAGGAATTTTCCTTCTGTGCATCTTGCATGTCAGAAATGCAGCTCGGACTCAGAAACTCTTCAGCAAGTGCACAACAACAGTTACTCTGTGATCCACCTATGATTTTGGAACTTCTATGATCCTCACTTGTTTCTTGAAAACCTTACAAATTTTACCACTATTTTAGAGCTCATGATATTATAACTGCAATCTGTTGAAATACTTCCAGAGGCAGATAATTTTTCCTTTATTTCAGCTTAATTTTTCCTTTATTTCAGCTATAATATAGATGCTTGTAAGATATTCAAAAGTAGAAACAGTCCCCTTTAAGATGTGATTATAGGAAAGATAAAAACCTTTTTTCCTAAAAGAGGCWTTGCACTATAACATTATATAAAGAGTATAATGATAACTAATATTATAAGTAGCAAGTTTACATATTTCCACAATTAAGGCATTCTTAGTGAATGTTTTGGAAATGAATGTGAATTGYTTGTGTACAGAATCTAGGGCATTATAAACAAGGGTTAGAAGAATGTAGTCTGTCCTTTAACCCTAGTAGGATAGACTATAAACACAATAGGTTAAATTATAGCATGTTGATTTATTTTGCTTTAGCAGCTTGTATTTTTTACTGCTGACACTGTAGATAAAAAATACTGGACTCTTTTACCTCACTGTACTTGAAATCTAGGATGGAATAAAATTCTAATGATTCACTTTCTCCTTCAGTGTCCAGTAACAGTCCTGATTCAGGGTATAATAAGTTAGAGCCATGTTTTGGACAAAAAGAAGCAGTTCTGAGTATGATAAAGCAACATAATATATCAAAAAGTATTATTGCATTCATCTTAATTTTTTTCTCATGTGACTGTTCTGATGTGCAGTAAGTAGGCCTGGTGTTATGAGCACAAAAATATAAATTCTCTGTTATTTCATACACACATGTGACTCTCTAATGAGATGCAAACTGGGTCTRTAAAGATGCTGAATAAATTAAAAACCTCAAACTATTATCAAACTCTTCTGCTGTGGCCTACAATATTAAGAAACTCCAAATCAGACATCTTTATTCAAAGGACTCCTCATGAACAAATGCTGAATAAAGATGTTGGATACATAGGAACTAATTTTTGTTTAAGATTACAAATATACTGACTACTGTGGTTCTGCTTTAGACAAGATKGAAGTAAAATTCCTGTCATTCCTAAAGTGTTCTTAAAAGTTACAAACCCTAAAGCATGCCATGCAATGAGAAAATAGAAGGTACTGACCACTTCATTGTCTGACCAATTAGGGGGAAAATCACTTTCCTTAACGAGGTAATGAAACATGGCAATATCGAAGAGACCTGATCCATGCTTTCCACTGTTCAAAACTGGTTCCAGGTATTTCCAAAATGTTTCCAGGTCTTTGTTAGCTTCATCTTTCCTTCTTCTCTCTGCTTCAGCATCTAAAATACATAAGTATTTGACAAATCATGGTACAATCTCTCCCTTTTACATATAGCACTAATCATATATCAGTCTTTTCTCASTACTGTTAAAATATTTCCACCCTCAGAATCTCATCAAGCATCTGACATCCAACTTTGGGATTAAAAAATACCCCCATTTGTATCTTGCCAGTGTCTTCTAGTCCAAGTACAGTCTTTGATGCTGAAGTGGACCCATGGGTGTCATCTGGCACAGTTTCTCTGCTCAGGCAGGGTCCCCAAAAGCAGACTGTCCAGGATTATGTCCAGATGGCTTTTGAGTACCTCCAAAAATGAAGACTCCMTAACTTCTCTGGGCAGTCTGTACAGCATTCAGTCACAGTAAACAAGTATTTCCTTGCCTTCAGGTAATACTGCACTCTCCCTTCAGGCACAATGATGAGTTCCTTCCAGGCTCTTTCTTCTCCAAGGTAAATAAACACTCCCAGCTCTTTCAGCCCCTCCAAAATGAGAGATGCTCCAGTCTCTTGAACATACTTGTGTTTGTTTGATGGGCTCTCTATGGCAGCTTCATATTTCTCCTTTATTGAGGAGCCCAGACCTGGACACAGAACTCCAAGTGTGGCCTTGCCAGTGCTGAGCACAAAAGCAGGTTTAAATCTCCTGATCTGATGCAGCCCTGGATAGCATTAGCTTTGTCTGCTACAAAGGCACATTGTTGGCTCACATTCAGCTCAGTGCCACCACCCCTAAGTCCTTCTGTGCAAAGCTGCTTTCCAGCCAGTCATCCCCCTTCATGAATTAGGGCAGGACTTGGCCCTTGGTGAATTTTATGAGGTTCCTGCAAGCCCATTCCTCCATCCTGTTGAAGTTCCTCTGAACAACAGCACAATTCTATGGTGCTTCAGCCACTCTCCTGAGTTTTGTATCATAAGAGTTCTTGCTGAGGGGAACTATCTTGAAAAGTAATGAAGATGTTGAGCAGGACTTATACCACCAATCCCCTCTGATACCCTCTGGACCAGGACATTCAGCCAGGTTTCAGTCCAACTCAGTGTTTGCTTATCCAGCTTCTTTAKGAGAAATGTCAAAGGTCTTATTGAGTCAGTGCAGACAATATTCACTACTCCCTCATCATCTACCATGAYTAATTTTGTCACAGGAGTTATCAAATTCGTTAAAAATGACTCCCATTGGCAAATCCATGCTAACTGACAAACTCTTTGCCCTTCACGTGCCTGGAAATGTTTCTAGGATGAGCTGTTCTACTATCTTTCCAGAGACTGAGAAGAGTCTGAGTAGCCTTTAAATCCTGAGTCATTCCTGCCATTTCTGAAGATAAGTGATGCTTTCCTTTAGTCTTCAGGCACATTTTTCAATTGCCATGTTTTTTCAAAAGAAGTTGACAGTGGCCTTGCAGTGACATCACAGCCAGCTCCTCAGTATGGCTGACTGCATCCCATCAGCTCCCATGGACTTTTGGATGTCCAGTTTGTTGAAGCAATACCTAACCTGATGCTCTTCCACCAAGAGGATCCCCAGACTCTCTAGACTCTGTCTCTGGGGTCTGAAAATTCCAAAGGCCATTCATGATCACGACCATTTTTTCTTCTTTCAAGGTCCTTCAGCCAGTCCTTATAGGAAGGCTGCTTGCTGCACTRAATAGAGTTTATTAGYRTCYTTCTTGTACTGTAGATTAGCTCCTCTAATCTCATGRCAGCCAAGTAACAGGGAATAACCAYTTCCCTTRATCTACTGGCTGTGCCACWRCAGCCCAGTAAAGTCAGCCATCACTGATGACACGTTGCTGCTTACCAGGATCCCAGCTCAAGAGAGGTGTTACAGTCAGGGGAGAGCTGAGTACAATTACAGAATGTTATTCTGTGTCATATTCTTCTGCAATTGGAGCCACAGTCCCAAAGCAGCCAACTGTCCACTCTACTTGAAATTACCAAATGAAACAAGTTTCCTTAGCAGTACACCTTCCTAACAATTACAGAAGCTTTCATTTGATAAAATGTTCTTTGGTGGCTACTGCAGAAAACCGTGGCTGCAAACATTGTCTGCTTAGTCAGCCCCTTTTTCTACTGTCCAGTTTTTGCACTGGTGAACCATTTGGGTTGGTGGCCAACCAATGGCAGTATTACTTTGGCACTAGCAAGCACAGCTGCTCATGGGCAGCTTGCACAAAGACAAAGAATGGTGAGGGAGAAAAACACAGCCAGAACAGTGTTTCCCTGGATATAAAATTATCTCCTTTCTACTTTTTTTTTTAAGGATCAGATTACCTTCAAGCGAAACTACTGATCGTCCTTTAGGTTTAGTTGCTTCCATGTATAGCTGCAATGGCATGTAATTCTCAGAAGAAATTTGAATTATACTTGAAATATTAATTCCAAGGTCAACCAACACAGGCAACAGCTGAAGACTGGGGAAACCCAGAATTATAAAGTAATGATCAGCACCATCATCTGGTTCATCGTCTGTTAAAAACACAACAAAAACAAATYAGAGAGAGAACATTCATCAGCTAAACAATATTAATTTTTTTWACTATATGGGATAATGAAAATTAAGGTGAGAGAAATAGTTCTTTTATAATCTCATTGGGAAAATTACATGTAATTSAAGAATATTGTGCACATTAGACTGATGTTTTCTGCACCAAACCATCTAGAACACAGAACGTAGACTACAAGTCAGAAGTAATAATGGTTTGGAGAAGTACCAGCAGAAAAACTGCAGAAGGTGATTATAACCAGAATGTTGTAGCAGCATTTCTGTATTTGCTCCTCTCTAAGGAGTTTAGTGTCATACTCACATTCTCTAATGGTAGTTTAAGCTATCCTATTTCAYCCTGCATAAAGCTGGACATGGAACATACACAGAATAAGTTACTGTATCTTACACGAAAGATTACATGAGCAATAATAATTTCAAAGGATTAGCTCAGGTATCAGCAGGCTCACTGCTCACTCCTCCCTAGCCAGCAAGTTCATGTTCACTAGATGTATTTCTTGCCAAAATCTTCATCAGCTGGTAATACAGTGGTCCTTTCAGTTGGCAGGGGCCTATCCAAATTAATCTTAAAGTGCAGATGAGAAGTTTCATTGAGTGCCTGTTCTATTTGGGTTTATCAGTTATGTAGAAATATGCATWGCAACATTTCAGTAGCAAAGCAAAAGGTTAAGTGTGATATAAGTAAAAATGAACACTCTAGAAGCTCTAGAAACCACACTGTGTGGTTTTCCTTTATGGCTTTTGAAGAAATACAGGTAGTAAGACAGGTGCCAGGTGATTTAACACCTCCAGTAAAATTATTTATCCTAAGTTAACAGAAACTGCCTGCTGAAGGTATTTCTCCATCAATGCTGAAACACAGAGTCAGTGCAAACTATCCTGCACTAAAACAAAACACAGCTTTATACTCTATTTAGRAYTAAGATCCTTTCTAATGCTTGCTWACACATCACATGTCTAAGTGCTTTRCTGACTCCTCAGCTCGTGGGACTCATTTATCCAAGGGAGGAAAAAATGACATTGCCTGTGCTCAGATATARAGCCAGGGCTGTGCAAATGCTGCTACCACCTGCAGCAGAAGGATCTCTTTGCCTTTAATATTAGCTAAACATAAAATAACATAGAAGTTTAGAGAGACTGACTGAGGAAGCAGCCACCWCAGTTCAGCACRTATATTGCAYARAGCAAAATTCAAAACCAGAAGAAARCTRGATTATTACTTCATTCCTAGTGCYGAAACTGAAGTATATAAATTTAYGCCTYAGKGACTGCAGGAAGAAAAGGCATGAACACAATTATTGAACATTAATAATTTCCAACAAAAAAGGCAGAAGCCTGTATAGTCACTTACAAAGATCTAAAAATTCAATGCATACATGCTGAAGACTGTCTGCCATTGGAAAATTTTGATTATGATTATGCTAATAATCATGACAAGTGGATAATAATAAGCCAGTTCTAATTATCAGTGACTTGTCCATATTCAAAAGAGGAAATGMATCAACACAATTAATCTCAAGATTACCCAAAAGCAGAAATACTTAATTTCAGAAAGGTGATAAYGTATTAGGGATGAATGATAAAACAACTGTAAGCTACCAGAAACAGATACAGGCTGTCTTTGAATTCAAGGCATGATCTTTTTTTTTTTCTTTCTTTATACAGCTATATTAAAACAAATATAAAGAGGGGAAGCTTAGATAGGATGTTAGGAAAAAATTTTTCATTGACAGGGTTGACAAGTCTGTCAGCTCTGTTTTAATTTATAGTATAAGTAGAAAGCCACCTTTGGATACTGAGACATTCAGTTATTCTGAAATCTTTATGTAGAAGTTTTCTGTAGGATTTGTTTAGCTACTTTCTTWCAGTTTTACATATGCTAAAACATTTTTATGCTGACAGCCACATATATMTTATCTGTATTTTACTTCTTGGACTGTACAGTCCATCTGAGCAGAACAGAGTGCCGTCATCAAACCAAAGTGGCAAAGCTTTGATATTGCCAAATAGATCTTGACTTTTCAATATGAAACAAAACAAAGTACTCCAAAGATTTTTTAGGAGTATATCTGCATTTTTTACATACCAATGTATCTGTCTTTCACTTCCACTTCTCCCCGCTGTTTCAATTTAGTGCCCGTTTTAGCAGAGGGTGGTACTGCTGTCTTTTTTCCTCTAGTTTCTTTTATAGGTTTAGCTTTTTCTTTCTCTTTCTCTTTCTCTTTTTCTTTTTGCAGCTCTTCTGCCTGACAAGATGAATAAATAAAGTTCTCATTGTAGCCTGTGTGCAGAATAAAGGTCAGACTGTTGTAAAACTTTAGGTGTTCCATTTTTTTATTTTAACACTTTTCCCTCTCAGATGCTATAATATTCACGTGGTGAAGCTGTCTTGAACATCCTGCTTTTTTCTGCTGAAACACATAATTCAGTTATTTATATATTCTTACTCAGTCATAATGCTAAGACTTCACATTAAAAAGGAACTGCAAGAGGTAGGCAGACATTATACCTACCAAACTAACAAAATGGATATGGGTAGAAAGAGGAGGAAAAAATCCCTGTGCTATAGTTACTTCCACTACAGCACTTGGATCAGCCTGAAACCTTCCTTGGACTGAGAGGAAATATGGCAAAAAWTCAATATCTGTTAATATCTTTAACATCTCTGTTAACACTCTTGAGTATGGTGTAAAATGGTGACAGCACTATTTTTCTTTGATGCAAATATCTGTCTAATGTAAACTAGAACCAAGAGTCTTGAGTTCATTTCACACAGGATATTTTATTTATTATTCAGCCATTCCCATTATTTTCAAACAAAAACACCTACATAAAGCTCTTCCCAGTAATTTAAAAGTACAGGATGAAAAAAGATTTTGTAAGTATCCCAAAGCCTTACCACTGTAAATCCTGAAAATCAAGATTCAGTGATTTAAAACAATTAAAACAATCCAAAATATATTAAGGTAGATTCTGTAGAGCAAGAAAGCCTCCACTTTAATTTTGTCCAGCAGAAATACTACGTCCAAACTTTGCAAAAACTACATTTCAGGATTATAAAGCTAAATAAAATAAAATAAAATAAAAATATATTAATGTAACTTACAGTTACAATCCTGTGGGTGTAATTTTAAAGGCTATTAAAGCAATTAGAAATGCCCTTCATGCAAATGAGACAGCAGTTAATGATACATAGTTGCTTTAGATTAAACTATAAAGCAGACTTTCCAGCTGTGGAAGTTGTATTTCTTTCAAATTCAAAATCAAAACAGATTTTTTTTTCCTGCTTTTTCCTTGTTTATGGATTGTTTTCCTGTAAAATTTAAATGCACCTTTGACGGATTCTTGAAACTATTTGCACTGTGAAACAAAGGATTTGGAGGCTTTCATTATTTTCTTCCAAATTTGTTCCACTTTTGACATTTCAAATTAGGAAGTTTGATAGTACTTTGAATTCTAAGCTGGTGAACTCCAAACAGATGATACAATCATCATGCCACAAAGTTCACAGACAGCTTCATCTATTGCATCTGCATCATTTTAAGTAATTCTCAAATTAGCAGAGACATCTCTGGACTTGCCAAGATTTTAACAAAGAACACTGCTTGACCTCAGTACTTTAGAAAGTAAAAACCTCTCCTTTCTAGGACTCTTTTCCTTTCAGAGTCATATTTCTCCTTCCATGCAAGGTGCAGCTTTTTGTGGAGTTTTTATTATTCCATTAATTTCTGCAATTTTGTTATTTTAAGCTTCATATTACAGAATTTTACCACCTCAAGCAGTTTTCTAATTCATACACACTCCTCCTCTTCTGTGTATTAATTTCAATACATACACCTGTCAGCTTATGACAGGGTCCTGCTCCTAATGAAATACAGAAAATTCCTAATGCCTTATTTTTGTTTATTTACATATTGTATTAGTTGAGCTGATCCCTTCTCTTAACTGGTGTCTATTCTAAAAAAACCCCATAGACAGATATTTTTGATTTCTGAAAACTGATTTGTGAGTAAAATCCTGGTCTCAACACCCAAATTGTTGGCAACAAAACTTGTATTGTACAAGTAGCTGGAAAGGATTAAAAATTTTATGGCAACCAATTTAGATACAGAACTCTAATTCAAAGTGAGTTTTTGCTCACTTGATACTGCAGAGCATCCTCATAGCCAAGAGCCCTCCAGTTCTTGACTCTGTCCTTCAACTGCTGCTCTTGTGTTTGCCTGTCACATTTTGATATAGATATAATTCAAAGGAGGTGACAACTTTTGCAGACAGTTTGGCTAAAACAGAGAAGAAACTGAAAGTTCCAGAGACTCTTCAACCTTCAACAGTGATTATCCTCAAATTACCCAGGGAAATAAAATTACAGTTACAAGACTAGTCTTGCTAAATAAAATCTAAAGACTCCATTTTAATATTGAAATATCATTAAACTTAACTTTTTGTTTTACAGTTTACTTACAAAAATTGACTGTTATGTAAGAGAAAAACCATTTTTTCTCAATTCACTAGAAACAATCTACTCCACAGTTTCAGACTCTCAATTTCTTTTCAGATTGAAAAGAATTATTTTTCACATTATTTTTCTCATATTCTTCATATAARTCTGTGGCTTACATTATAATTTCCTAATAAGTTGACTTCTGTGGAAACAAGACACAATTTTAATTTAACCACCTAGCATTTAATGTTCTTACAGTTGTGTGCTGCACTTCATCCACCAACTACTCCCACAAATAAAACTGCTGATAGAAAAATGTACAGATTTTTTAACTATCCAAAAGCCATTAAACAATTTTCTCCTTTTACATGCACAAACTGCTTAGGTCTCCATGTCATCACAMTTCACATTATAGTTTTTGATCAATTAACAGGGTAAACTTACTGCAGCAATTATATGACTTTCTGATAATGGTCTTCAGTTTCATGAACATTTATTGGAAAAGGACTAGAGCAAAATGAATTGCTCAGTAGTTGTTGAAATGTAACACTGACAACTCCAAAAGATGTTAGAAATAAATTAAAAGTCTGATCTGTGATTCTGTACAAGCTTGGTGAAATTGCTCCTAGAACATATAAGCAATCTGTCCTGAGGCAATCTTGGAGCCAGTAGTGACAACCTTGGAGAACACATGGAAACAAGTTTTGGGAACACTGGAAAATGTGGTGCCCAGTTCTGAGAAGCAGACTTCAAAATATGTACTATTTTGAGAGAATTCGGAGGAGACAAACAAGCATGATCAAAAATTAGAAATATATTTGGGTTTGTTTAGTTAAATATGTGATTGATTTCTGTAGAATGGAATGCAACGGTGTCCCCAACACACAGTGAGGAGTGAAACAGTAACAGGTTTAAATTAGAATACAGCTGGTAAAATCAGAAACCTTTTCAAATGCGTGTGTTGCAGAGATGGTTCAGAAATAATACTGATTGCCATGGAAAAGCAAAGACACAGCAGTGGAAAGTTTTAATAAAAGGTTCAACAAACATCTGCCACGAATAGTTTATGTAAATATTATCCTGCATTATCCTGCTGGAGGATGGAAGAGATAACTTCTCCATATTCCCTTCAGAGATGAGATTTGTGACAATAACTCCTTCATAGTCTGCTCTGTGTCTAATTTTGATCTGTCCCAAGTAACAGCCCCTCCTACCTTTACTTCAGCTGAAGCCTATTCCTACCTTTGTTTTCTATTGGACCTAAGACTCACCTAAGCCATTACTAGTTCTCACTCTGGCAAAGAGTCTTTGCATTGTATTTTTATTTTCTTTTTTCCCCCTCATTCTCACTGGTATTTGAGTAATTGAAAACTTCATCCACAAAATCTAATCAACTAAAAAAGATCTCTCTAATCACATTTCTCTTTAATTACAGTTCTAGAAAGCCAAATGCGAGAAGAAAGCTGAATTTATAGAAATAATGCTAGAAGTGCCTTCAAAAACATAATGTTTGTAGGGCATACTATAGTACCTTCTTTTCCTCTTCTCTTCTCTGAATGTCCTTCCGTTTGAGACAAAGCAAATGAAATTTCAACAGCTTTCCAGTTAGAGTTATAGGAATTTCTTCACCATTTTCCAGAAAGGCCTTGGCTACTTCCAGCACCTGAGAGGAAAAGATAAAATCATGACCAAACTATTACTTGCACAGTTTTAATAATGCACTTGACACATATATATTTCCATGSTGAAATGAGGAAGAGCTGTCTCACATTGTACGATGAGTAGGTCCAAATGGCCACATTTCCAGATAAACATCTTACCATATCATAAAACACACAATTATTCTTTGGTTCCAGAGACTTCAAATGAAGTTATATTGGCTATGAGAGAAAACTAGAATGGAAAAAAACTTATTGGCTATGAGAGAAAACTAGAATGGAAAAAAACTTCTAAGATTTATGAAGAAGTCAACAGACACAGAGCTCTCAAGGGAAAATGTAATTTTCTTTAGGTTTTAAAAAAAGAAGTAACACTAAGCAATTACATATTATAAACCAGTAAATTGAAAAGCACRTAAGAGCAAATCAAGAATAGTTTGAAGTGCTGTTTACAAAGTGACCAGTGTCTGAAGCACTAGTCCTAAATGAAAGATAAAAACTTCTGGAAGGGAATTTGAGAGGGTCTGTGGTGGTGAAAACACACCCCCTCACTGTGTAGTTCTGATTCTGTTGGTATGCAGCCTAATTGGGGTGAAATAAGGCTATTGAGTTTTCTCAGGGTGATGACAGCAGCGGGAACATACAGCTGCATTGTCCAGATGTGTGGCATTGACAGGCTGTTTTATGGCTATGTTTTTTACAGCTTGTTTCCACTAAATTTCATACAACTCACTAACATCTGGGCCGTTTTCCTTGGAGCCTCATAACCACTTTATTTACTGTGAAAAAAATAAAATAACATAAAAATACCATTAAAAAGTTGTTATATGTTTCTTTCCACTTGCGTTGTCTCTGTAATAAAGTTCACCTATGTAGGAAGCGCTGTTGAGGAATAATATAACCATAATATTTTCTTACTTTTGTTTTTAAGCAACCATCATTTTTATTTATAACCATGGGCTGAATTAGGTGTTACTCAAATGTTCTGACATGTTTCTCTTTTCTCCTCATGGAGCAATTACAGTTGGGCACATATGGTGTCAATTTTGCTCGCTAACATTGGGACAATGAAGGTGCACACTGCATCTCACTGAACTGTGTCTTGTCTAATGCAAACACCACCATTAGCTTTGAGCTTTCATAGATTCTTGCCTAGTTTAGAAATTTTCACTTCTCATCTAAAACCTTGACAAGCAAATGTAGCCACTAAAAGTGGCTTCCCTGAATCAAACAAAACCAAAATGGAATCGAGACTATTATATGCTGAATTACTGTTCCATACAAATGAGGGCAGGGAGYAGAAAAAGAAGTATCTTATAATTCAGATTTTTCTGAGTCACATAACAGGAAGACAAACCAAGACAAATGCATTTAAAAATCCTTCCAAAACAATCCTGCTCCTCCAACACAAATAAACCTAATGATCTTAACATACACAAAGGAAGACACATCATGATTAAGATTAGTTTTGTTTTGCCTATTCCATATTCGAAGTAAGACTACTTACTGGTCGCTATCTCAACAAGCCAACCAGAGAAAGCTTCTGGAAAGACCCACTGACTTCAGAGACACRGCAGAAAATCAAAGATATGTCAAGAATAAGACTTAAAAATTCCCACAGACTGTAGGCACACTAGGAACTGTTAGTTATTCCAACAAAAAAATAGTCACTCAGAGCTAGGCACACAAATCTGTGCTCTGAAAGAAAGAGACATTGCTAGAAATAGCAGAGTGATTTCCTTCAGAGAGAAAAGTTCTCAGACAGTTTTTTTCAGAATTGATGTTAACAGCTTTTGGAAAGTGAGGCTTCTCAATGCCTAATGTAGATGAGTTGCACATTTCTTGAAACACAATAGAGGGGAAATTGAGGGATTCTGGAAGGATTCCTGAAAAGTGTATATATAGTAACCCAGCTTGATGGCAGTTAGTGATTTATTGTTGGTGGAAGAAGAAAAAAGTGCTTCRATTCTTAAACCCCATGCTTCCTGAGAATTTCAAAGCATTTTACCAGTCAAAAGCAATGCATCATGATTATTCTTATTTTGTAGATTGAGAATGCAGGAATGAAGAGACTTGATGAARTAGTCAGCTGGACAACTCTTGAGTGGGTAGGAAGGCTGAACTTTTTTATGTGAGCCATTAGAGAAGTATAACCAAAACTATTTAACATTCCATGACTGCAGAGAGAGGTCACACAAATAAGACAGAGACAAAATGAGAACTCTACATTTGGCAATACAAAGAAAGCAAATAGTTTTTCATACAGAGATGTAAAATCTGTTTTATACATGAGGAAATTAAAACCAATCCTAGTGACAGAACATAGATCAATCCATGCACAGTAGATAAAGGAAATTAAATTTACTATAGATCCATGTTTACTTCATCTGTGGTCCTGTGGATTATGCAGGCCTCTGGCATAAACAGGTAAAAATTTACAGAGCCTCAACTTAAAAAAAAAAAAAGAAAAAGAAAACTCAAGACAAAAACTTGGTAGGAATACAGAAGGAAGTTTTTTGGATAGTGTGAAGAGGATTTGTTACAGATTGGCTATACTTCATCCTGCCAGTGATGATCTTTTTCTTGCGTGAAAAACCATGGAAACTTGGATGGACAAACTCAGTTAGATAGGGCCTCTTTTCCTTTAAAGCAAGAGGAAACTTAGCATTCCTCACACAGCAGGGGTCACACTGGTGAAGTGCAGAAAGGCTTTGGTGATGCAGTATTTGATCTCATGTGGTGGCAGTATGAACCACACAGAGATTTAGCTGTCTGGTGCAAAGGGCATGTATTTCAAGCCATTCAAACACTGCATGAGCTCTTGTAAGTGACCCAACACTACTGACAGATGTCAACGCCAGTGACATAGGAGATAGGTCTTAAAAGTTAGGGAAGCATTTCAAGTCACAGCCTTTGTGCTATCTTTCTTTAAAATGCCTCTTTTTCAAGATACAGAACCATTGTGGCTGCTAAATCATCATCAGAAAAATCTTTCAAAAAGGTAGATTAGATTATAAACTTTCACAGCTTTATTATTTGGAAGCAGTAACATTGTTTGCTATGAACAGGGGTCAGCCCAATTCATAGTATAGTTCTCCCATATCCAGAATGAGCTTTCTAAAGCCCTGTCTTCCCTCTTGTTCTTGATACTGCAAGAAATCCAGACCACCATGCCTCAGATTCATATAACACTTCCAAAATGAAACACAGTAGTTCCTAAAAGAACCAAGTAAGTAAAATACCTTAGTGGCTGACACAGTTCAAGTAAATTTGAAGCAGGATAGTCATCAATCAAGAGGCTACATGAATTACACAACCACGTTGTAAATTACTATTCAGATGCATTTTCCTGAGCAAATTATTAAAACTGGGGGGGAAATAAGTGATCTTCACAATCTGCTGTCAGTCTTATGAGCCCTTCACAAACAACTTTCAAGACAGACTAGGGGACAAAAGCTGCATATGTCATACTGATAGCTGTTTTTTACAAAGAAGTCTTCTTTACACATACTGTTAAATATTACTGACACTGCCAATGCCATTTCCTTGACTAAAGCATACTACAGTCAAAAAACACCAAAAGGATCTCAGCTTACGGAAAAACCTTTTTTTTCAGATGACAACCCCAGTGTGTTGAAAGATAATTCAGTTTCTCATATCAGACCATGCACCTAATTTCATTTTAACTCCCAAAACCTCTTCTCACCTATGATGTCAAAAGATTACTTGCTTAATCATTATATTTCACTAATGAATTAATGACTCACAGTTTAAAGAGAGTTTAAGAATTCACATATGTCAGTAAATTGCATATCTGAGCATAGTTTTATATACAGTTGATGTATCCACCAGGTAGACAGTAAAGTTAAGCCAAATGAATCATCCTTGTTAATCAAAGAAGATTATACCATTACCTATTTCAGAGAATGAAAATAATTGAAGTGGATTTGATGACTTCTTCTRCCCCACAGAGTCCTTTTCAAATAAACCTACTAAAATAAAGCAATACTGAGCAAATATGAATGCTGTCCATGTGCTAAATATCCTTCTTTTTCTTGTCAGAACATTTCTAAAAGCAGAAGCAAATAGCTACTTGTACTCTAGAAAAATAACTTGTCACTCATATCAGTGAGTCTGTTTTTTGCCAAAACACAACACAGCTTGAGCTGGTTAGCAGAAACCTATTAGAATTGTCCATTGTAAGAAAGATATTCTTTACAAGATTCTCTACAGAAAATGTGCAACCTGAGGGTCTATTTTAACTGGTTTAATCTCAGCAATGCTCTGTGAGAACTTTCTAACATGTATCTACAGCATTATGTTAAGTACTTAATAATGTTTTAAGAAAAATAGAAATAGTGAATAGCCAAATTTCAGTAAAGATGAGAAAATATTTAAAAATTGGGAGGGCTTTTCACCTTGGCTTTATTAGAGAGCTCATATAGGAGCTCTCATCATCTAGGACATACACCTCCTGTGGCTTCCTGACCACTACTGCTATGAAAATAAAACTAGCCATGATTGGAGAGATCAGATATTAGCAATGATATCTCAGGAAAGAATTCTATGCAATAGGGAAGGTTTTGTCATGTGACCCTTCATACAACTGTTTTCTTTGAGTGCTGATTGGGAAGCAATAGTTGAAATAGCATTTAAGTGATTTCTGAAGAGCTCCTACAAAACCCAGACTTTTTTAAAAAGAGAGGACAGGACAGTCTGTGGTGATTTGTGCTCAGATGAAGAGATATATTGCTATGATCAAATACTGAAATGTTTACATTTCAGTGCGATGAATCTGCCCAGGAAATCTTTCCATTATGGCACTGAGTATTTTAAGTTTCTGAGAAGTAAATTGTCTCCAGCAATTTCAGCCAACTGAATCCACACAATGAGAATCACAAAGCTAAAAGATTTAGTCACGCTTCTCTAACACTGCATCTGGCTAGGAGGAGAACCCCATCAGAGGTGGAACAAAAACATTTAAGAAGCAAAGTTGCCTCATTAA